CCCCAAAACCCCAAAACCCCAAAACCCCAAGTAAATAAATAAGTATTGAAAATGTAAATAAAAGGACTAGAAGCTTCATTATTTTTTATGAAACTGGCTGCAGATAAGCATGGCTAATATTAATTTGGCAGCACAATATACATTAATGCTTATGCTGGTTAAATATAGGGCAATCTCCTAGCTTACTCTAGTTTTGTGAGCTGAAGTAGAATCGGATTTCTCTTGTCCATTAAATACCTTTACGCCATTCATAATGATCTATTAAACTAGCTATTACTTAATGAATATTCCATAATTCAGAGGAAATAGATGAGAAACTTCTCATCTTTGTTACCTACATTTGCCACTCGGAGTATGAACAACTTTAAGTTCTATTAGTTAAGCTCTCTTACCATTTGTAGGTATCAGGTGCTGGAGTTTTAACAAGTCAGCTTTCTTTGCCTCAAACATGTTGAAAATTTATCTAATTCCATAAGCTTGGTTGAAGCTCACAGTATTAGCCAATCATATGTCTGCTACTATGTTAGGCTCTATCCAAGGATGATAAGTGCTATTTTTAAATGACCCACTTTGAAAATTTTGAAGTTTAAATTGACATAAAAATTTAAGTATAATTACCTTCTGTTTACTGGACATTAGAATAACTGGATCTCTTTACCATAGGCTGGTTGCTATTCACAGAAAGTAACTTGGATGAACCCTTCAGCAATCTTAGTTTGAGTCTTAAACTTTATGAGGATTAACTGCTAATTTTTAGGCAGTTTCATAATTCATTTATGTAAACCTATTTAATAAATCACAATTATTAAAAACTAAGGTGCCCTTACCGTCCTTAGACTTGTAGATTAATTCAATCTGCCAATTAAGATATTCCTGATCAACCAGCACATAAATTTTGAATTATTTGGGTCTAGAGCGAAGATTGAAGAAGTTTTGGGCACAAAATTTGCAAGAATCACTCATTTAATAATACCTACTATTTTCACTAATTTCTGAAATGTAGTATAAATTTCAGACGTCCGATATAGTCTGGGTAATAATCTCTTCATAATTTCTGAAGGAATAGATAAAATTTATGAAAATCTGGGATTTATTTATATACTAGAATATAATCACACCCAGGAGCACCTGGGTGTGATTATATTTTTGCCTTCAAATGTAGTGCTATTATGGTAAAATATTCAGAAAATATTCATGAATAGATTCATAACTTCCTCGGAAGGAACCAGTTGAAGGGTATATATAAGTACACCCAAAAATGCAAGTTAACGGAACTTTTTTGAAATAAGTTATTAGAGCGAGCGAAAGAATTGATTCGCTTGCAGATTTCTTCTATTTCTAGACGACTTTTTCTTACTGCCTATTTTCTTCAAGATAAGCAAATCTTGTTCCTCCCCTAAAGAATCTGTGCAATTAGGCTCACAGTTATTACTCTCGTTAAGTAATGGATTGTTTAGTACAGTACTATGAGCAACATTCTGGGGATTTGGAGCCTTGATTTCCCTCTCTAAGCTCATAATTAAGCTCCTATCAATGGATCTTTGTAGCTTTTTCATTAGCTTGCCTGGGGAAAGGAACCTAAACCTTGTTTCTTTTGCCTTGGCAATTTGCTGCTCAACTTTTGTCATCATTTCTTGATGAATGATCTCTCACTGCGATATCTCCTCCTTTGAAAGCATAGTTGGGACTGCTTGCTTTTTGTCTTGGCTTAAAACCCGCTTATCCTTCCCAAAGGGAAAGATGTCATCATTCCGAGCAGACAGCATATTCTTGTGATTCCTTCTCCTACTAGCTCTAGCTGGAGAATTCGTCCTTAGAGGGGATAGAGCTTTTGCAGGAGAGAAGGGCTTCTTCTGGCTGATAATCTTGCAATTCATTAACATATCTTTCTTAAGGCTACAATATTAGTCGAACATATCCTTACTTCAAAGGCTTTAGCTTCCTAGCGGTCGACTTCTTCTTATCCTTAGTAAGCTTTGAGGCCCCTTGAGAGATTTTTGGTAGCTATAAAATATCAGTATTAGTACACATTTTTGGGAACTAATCTGAAATGAAATTTTCGGAGAATTTTGTATTCGGTCTCAAAGCTGATGAAAAAATTAATTATTAATACAATTTATATTGAAATTCCCAAACATGTTTTACCTTCTGGTTTGTAAAATTAGTCTTGAGGTTAGTTAGCTTTGCTTTCAAATCTATATTAAAATGAATCAAAATTTGTATTAACAGAGAGAATTCAATCATAATTTAAGCTAAAATTTATCGAAAAGTAGCCTTGTATTTACCTTTACCCTTCCTTTTACCAAAAAGTTGCTTTGTATTGGCAAGCCTGCCTTTGAACCTTGGATTTAAAATAGTCATTTTGATCATCCTCTTGATGTCTCTTGGTTTCTTGATGCCATTTATTTGTGTTGGGTTGGACATTATATTAAATTATTTAATATTTCGATCCCATATACATTTCTTGGGGTTTTGGGGTTTTGGGGTTTTGGGGTTTTGGGG